AATATCTTCCCTAGAGTGTTGACTTAGGGCATGTTGAGAGCTCACGGCTCTATCAATGCTGCCCTGTCTAGGAAAGGTGAGTGAATGGCCATTCCCAGCCCCTGACCAAGACCATTGCCTTGTAAGGTCCCCTGTTAGTGACAGTACAATCTGTGAACACCAGGCTAGCGTGAGGGGCTTGGCCTCCTGCTACCCGGAGCGTCTGTGAAACAGAGGAGGGGCAGGTCTCACCTGAATCTCGAGGTCTCAGCGGCTGTCATGGGCTCCTCTCCTGCCACTTCTACTGAGGAGCTGAAAGCCTCTTTTATAGAACGGGACCCAGGAAACGTGAGATTAGATGATGTGCTTCTAGATAATTCCAAATTCTGCAATCTGGTGGCATCTTTCAGGGTTCTGCCAAGTAAATAATTACCAATCACCCAATCAGGTGAGTCAGCTGTTTGGTCTACAAGTTAAACAAGACAGCTTGTGACAGGAGGTTATTAAAGACTTCACGGTCTCATGCATGAGGCTGACACTGAAGATCCATGCTCCTGAGTGGCAGGAAGATCAGGTTTGGAATGGAGAGGAGCGGCCAGCGTAGCCCCGTCAGGAACTTCATCCTTAGCTCTCAGACCATATCCTTCCATGGCCTTGTTCTTTTTCTCTATTTGGTGATTTTTTTTGCTCACACACTACATGTGGCCTTCTCCGCTCTGAACTATCCCTTAATTCTGTGCACCTGTGTGTGTGTGTGTGTGTGTGTGTGTGTGTGTAGGTGTGTGTGCACGCACATGTACATGGTGTTTTCTAAGTCCCTGGTACATGACAGTTAGGTGCCTATAGGTCCTCACAAGATTCCTGGTGGGGATGCTGCTTGTTTCCAGAGGAGAAAACTGAGGTGTGGTTAGGACGGGGCAGAGTTAGAAGTCAACTCACCGGGTGATAACGGCATTCAAACAATGGTAGCATTGAACACGTGCCAGGTCCTCAGAGCCCCACAGGTGGGATGGATGAGTGTTTACAGTGAGAACCGGGGGCTGCGGTGTGGGGTGCAGGGCAGAGAGACACTCACACTTGGTCTTTGTCCTGATCAGTGTGCTGAGAGATGAGGACGGCCTCCTCTAATTCGCTTGCCCTTTGCTTTCCCGCATCATGCCTCCCACTCTTTTTTCTTTTTCTGAATTTTTAATTACATTTTAAATTTATTTTACATACCAACCACGTTACCTTTCCCTCCTCTCCTCCCGTTCCCTGTTCCCTCCCCCAACCTCCCTGTCTACTCTCCCCTCCCCCATTCATTCCTCCTCTGTCTCCATTCAGAATGGGTAAGGCCTCCCATGGGAGTCGACAAAGCATGGCATATCAAGTTTAGGCAGGACCAAGCTCCCCCATGCCCCTGCCTCAAGGCTGAGCGAGGAATCCCACCATAGGGAATAGGTTCCAAAAAGCCAGTTCATGCATTAGGACAGATCCTGGTCCCACTGCTAGGTGCTCCACATCAGACCAAGCTACACAAATGTCACCCACATGCAGAAGGCCCAGGTCGGTCCCATGCAGGCTCCCTAGCTGTCGGTCTAGAGTCTGTGAGTTCCCACGAGCTCAGGTCAGCTGTTTCTATAGGTTTCCTCATCATGATCTTGACCCCCCCCCCCTCATATAATCCTTCCTCCCTCTCTTCAATTGGACTCCCTGAGTTTGGCCCAGTGCTTGGCTGTGGATCTTTGCACCTGCTTCCATGATGAAGGTTCTATGACGACAATTAGGGTAGTCATCAATCTGATTACAGAAGGCCAGTTCAGGGACCCTCTCCACTATTGCTAGGAGTCTTGTGGATTCCTAGAAATTTCCCTAGCACTAGGTTTCTGCCTAACACCATAATGATTCTCTCTCTGTCAAGATATCTCTTTCCTTGCTCTCTGTTTCTGTCCCTCCCCCAACTTGACCACCCTGATCCCTCATGTTCCCATCCCCCATCCTCACTCCCTGTTTACCTAGAAGATTTCATCTATTTCCCCTTTCCAAGGAAATCCATGCATCTCTCTTAGGGCCCTCTTTGTTACCTAGTTTCTCTAGGGCTGTGGATTGTACCCTGGCTATCCTTTGCTTTACATCTACTATCCACTTCTGAGTGAGTACATACTGTGTTTGTCTTTCTGGGTCTGGGTTACCTTACTCAGGATGGTTTCTTCTAGTTCCATCCATTTGCCTGCAGATTTCATGACGTCATTGTTTTTTTTTACCGCTGAGGTCTCTCTTGAATGTACTGTTCACGTTGGCTTTGCGGGCTGTTCTTGCTTCTGTAACTGCATTTCCTCAGTTTCAGTTCCTCAGCCCAGGGCTGGAAACCTGCAATACTACAGGGAGTCCTGTTACAGAGTCTCCTGTCACAGAGTCTGTGACCCCTGGGAAAAGACCATAGACTCAATCCAATTACAATGAAGAGATTCATTGATTAGCTGCTGGCAGGATGAACAATCTCTGAGTCAAATTTGAGATTGCCGTGGAGCAGGGGTGTGGGAAAGGACTTCTAAAGGAGAAAACCACACAAAGACCTTCAATATCTGCACAAGCAAGCAAAAGCTGTTCTGTTCTGCCAAGTTCAGTGGTTAAGGCAACTCGAAACAATCGTTGGGTATCTGTGTAAGCAAGTTACAGAAACAAACAAACAAACAAAAAGCAGTTAGTCATATCATAATAAGTAGATAGTCATGGCTGTACATTTCTGCATAGGGGGGTGGTCACTGAGTTCAGGGTTACTGGGAACTTATCTTCCGGGGACTGGAGTCAGAGACAAATGGCTGGTGGGTACCAAGATGGATGCCTACACAAGAGTTTCTTCAGCAGACAGTCCACGGCAACCCTCTCTGTTTAACATCCCACAGTAACGTCACTCACCATAGTAACGTCACTCACTTTGTCAGAACCACAGCGTGGGGTTCACCTGGATCTGTCTCCTCGTGTTTTCCCATCTAGTTCTTCCAGGTTAAAAGTTATTAATTGGACGCATTAATGCACATATGTACCAAACAACCCAGAGGCCAGATATTTGATTTCCCAGAATAACAATGTAAGGGACATTTGTTCGGAAGACATGTAAGAAGACGGGCCACTGGATGTTCAAAACTCATATCAAGCTTGAATATTCCAGCTAAGTCAGAGTCTCCAAGCTTGATGTTTTGCTTTGAC